TTCATCATACATGTGGACTTCTCTCAGATTTGTTCATTTCATGATGATATCTTCAATTCTCTAATTTTGGTGAATATTTTTGTCATTTTTGGTAGAAAGTGATATTTTCGACTTCTTGTTAAAAACTGTAGGTCCTATTGCTTTGATACTATACATATTGTTCATTTTCTAATGATGTCTTCAGTTCTTTAATTGAAATGTGCATTGCTAACAGCGGAGCTATCTCAGCCGATAAGCTGCTTGTTTTATTTTCAATGTTTCTTGACAACTGCCAGCTCAAATGCTTCGATTCTTAGTATGTAGGAGCCTTTGATGGACCTATGTCAGATTTTCTCATTGTCATGGTGATATCTCCAATTCTGTATTTTAGGGAAATATTTTTGGTAGGATTTTGTTTTAATATTTGAAATGTACTAGTATATAAGTTTTGAAGTTTAGTTGACATTTTCTCAACAGCCTGAACCTACTTTTTTGTGGGTTAACCACTTCTTGTCTCATGTGTGTGTTGCTTGAATTGGCTACCACAGTATTCTTGTAGGACAGCAGAGATATTTCGACCACTTGTTTTTCCTAATCTATGCTTCTTCAATGAAACACTTAACAATCCATAACCAAACATCGATAAAGTGTGTTCCTGTCACAGTGTATGGATCATATAGTACAGCCATCACACAAAGCATGTATGCTTTATTTTGAAAATTACAGAGTATGCTATCACAAGATAATTTAAAAATAATGGTGCTGTGTTGATAATATGAAAAATGGTCATTTTTTTAACCATACTGCCATAATTGAAAGTGTGTGTCATTTTTGACTTCCATGTGCGAAGCACAAAATGGGAGTCTTTGCAGTTAGTGTGTGTGTGTGTGTATATATGTGTCTGTCTGTTCCACTTATATATCAAGAACCGTACATAAGTTTTTAATGAAACATGGTGCATAGATGCTCTGGGCCAATGCGCAGACTTGATCAGGTTTTGGTAAAATTCCATGCATATTAATTACCTAATTTGCATGATAATTAGCTGATTTTTAGCTGTTCCATGACTGTTCTACTAATATCTAAAGAACCACTCATTGGATTTTGATGAAACTTGGTATATAGATGCTCTGAACTTGTGCGTAGATTTGATTAGTTTTTGGTAAAAATCCGTACATATTAATTACCTAATTTGCATGTTAATTAGCTAATTTTTAGCTGTTATATGACTGTTCGACTGATATCTAAACAACCACTCATTGGATTTTGATGAAACTTGGTACATAGATGCTCTGAACTAATGCTAGGTTTTGATCAGTTTTTGGTAAAATTTACCTAATTACTCATTACCTAATTTGCATAATGATTAGTCAATTTTCGTTTTTTCCACTGATGTCTCAAGTACTAATCATCACATTTCAATGAAACTTGGTACATAGATGTCATAGGTCACTGCACGGACAGTGCATATTAATTACCTAATTTGCATAATTAATTAAATTCCAGCTTTTGATGTTTCAAGTCGTAAGCATTACATTTCAATGAAACTTGGTACATAGGTCCTTTAGGACTATCCAGAGACCTGATTAGTTTTAGGGTAAATAATTAAAATATTAATTACCTAATTTGCATAATTAATTAATTTTCAGCTTTCACACATTTCAATGAAACTTAGTACAAAGATGCTCTAGGACAATTGTCGCATACGACTTATTTACCACTTCTGTGTCACTGAGAATGTTCTAGAACCGTACTGTGTCTGGGTGGAATATTCTAGATTTTTTTTTAGAAACTGGTTGAATAGGTAATAGAACACTGTAGGAGGCAATAGAAGGTAATGGAACATTCTAGAAATTTATAGTAAATTCCAGACTCATTATGTATGCTGATGTAATGGTCTATTTATAGACAGTGTGGGTATATATAGGGGAGTTTTTCAGCACTGAGTTCAGATCGAAGATCTCGTTGAATTGTATTGGAGTTTAAGTATCTAGTTATTAGAGTAGTGGAGTTTTACCGCGTTATTGTACTTGATGTTTGCAGAGTATAATAATACCAGTACCAGTTGAAACCTCATCTGTTGGCTCCGTGTTCGTATTTTATCATCGCCGCCAGGGAAGTCTTTCTGTTACTGTTGCCATTTTGGTATTTGAGCCATCACACCTGTACTATACCAATTACGGTAATATTACGTTGCGTGTGACAACAATATACAAACCTGATTAGTTTGGGGTTAAAATCTGTTTATATTAATTCCCTAATTAGCATAATAATTCATAATTTTTTTTTGTTCTAATCACATTTCAATAAAACTTG